TAGCCTAAGCCTATAACCTATAATAGTTAAAGACTCTTATATAATACCCTCCCTTAAGTATAGCGCGGCGCTACCTTATTAATAGCTTTTATACTATTAGGCCTATACCGCTAGCTTTACCCTACCCTTTCCTATTAATCGTACTAGCCCTACTAGCCCTATTATCCCCGCGCTTATTAGCCTAGGTAGCTAGAACCTAGCTTTATACTTATTAGCCGGCTAGCTATTTAAATAAGGGCGCAACCTATTATATACGCCCCTAGGTAGCCGGCGGCTAGCCTAGACCTACGTAAGCCTTAGGTTACCCGTCCCCTTAGCCTTAGGTAGCCTCCTCTACCTAAGGGTATATAAGGCGGTATCCCCCCCTTCTTCTTTCTCTTTCTTCTCTTCCTTCTTTAACTATAGTAATAGTAGTAATAAGTAAGTTCTACTTTACTTAAGGCGTTAGTTTATTCCTAGCTATATAGGCTGCTTTATTAATATATACTTATAGTAATAGCTATAATAGTAATAATAGCCTTAATAATAACTTTAACTAGTAAGTTCCTTACCTTATAAAGTAAGAGGCTATATTTTATTATACTAACTTCCGCGATAGATATATCTTACTCTCCCTCTCTTACCTCTTCTTTCTTAGAGCGTATAAAGTCGTTCGTTAACGCTATACTAACCGCGGCTAACGATAGCTCCGCCGCTACCGCCGCTCTTACCCGCGCGCTTACTACCGCGCTTACTACCGCCGCCTATACTTCTACTATACTAGCTACCCTTACGTCGCCCTTTAAGGTAACGACGCTATCCCTACTACTACTTATAACGCCTAGCCTTTTAGCCCCTGCCTTTATTTCCGCTACCCTTATAAGTCTATAGTTAAGTAAGTATAATAAACGTTTTCTACTAACCTCTTATAGTATAAGCGCTAAGTATAGGCCGGCGCCGCCCGCTTAGCCCCTTATATACGTTATACGTTATAGGAGCTTAACTACTTTAACTAAGTCGGGCGCCGCTATAGCGGCAGCTATTATTAGTATACGTATACTAGCCGCGCTTATAAGGCGGCGCCTCCTATCCTACTTATTACGGCGTTAGCTTAGAAGGCTAGCTTATATAGGTAGGCGCGGGGGGCTACTAAGAAGCGCCTTACCGCCGCCGCTACTATATACTATAACCTCCGCGCTCTTAAGCGGTAGGGCCTTATACCTAAGTAAGTCCTTACTCCTCCGCTCCCTTACTTCCGCCTTTAATATACCTAGCGCTAGGGACACCGCTTCTATCGCCTTATCGGCGGTCCCCTTAGCTATACTTACCTTTATTACTACTACCGCCCTTACTACCGCCGCTAATACTAGCCGCCGCCCCTTTACCCTTAGAGCCGCCGCTGCCGCTAACTAGCTTATAGGCTTAGAGGGCCGCCTTAGCGCCTTAAAGAGCGCCGCCGCCGCTAATAAAAAGGAGGAGGCTAATAAGGATAAAAATAACGATAATAATAATAAAGGTAACGATAATAATAAGGAATAGGCCTAGGTAGTTTAAGGGCTTTACTTTATAATAAACGCTATTTTTATCTTTACTTATACTATTATACTTATATTACTATAACTACCCCCTTTACTTTACTTACTTTATAGTCTTAGCTTAAGCTACTACTAGTAGTTTATTAGTTTATTATTTTTATCTACTAGTCTATATAAGGCCTTAAACTTATCGAGGGCTATAGCTCTTATAAACTTATATATAGGTTCTTATATTAGGTCGAGGCACTTATACTACTTTATAAGGACCTCTTAGCGTTTTCCCTAGCTAACCGTCTTTTAGTATATAGCCTATATCTCTTTAACCTTAAATTCGTTATCTCTTTCTACTTTAATAGTAAGCGGTTAAGCGTTTACTACTTCTTATCTAAGTAGCGGGTTAAAGGAAGCTTAGTAAAGGAGGTTAATATTAATCTTATTATAGACCTTTATTAAAAGATTATTAAGCTTTACTACCTATAGGCTAATAACCCTCTATACTATAAACTTTATATATAGCTAGTTTAGGTTCTTCTTTAGCCGCGCTAACCTATAGTTATAAAGGTTAAGCTATACCTTATCTCTTACTATAAACCTATCTATTAAGGCCTTAGTCTTATTAGCGTACCGCTCTTAATTTTACGCTAAGGCGGCTATCGCGGATTAATAGTATTCTATAGTTTCCTATAGCTTCTATATAAACGTAGAGGCGCGGCTATTTAATAATAAACTACTATATTACTTTACTACTATATCTATAGCGAATAGGATTAAGGAGGGCGGCTTAAAGCTATATATAGTAAAAAAGGGGGCTATTTTAATAGAGGCCTATAGTTTACTATTTAATATAAGCTAGGCCGCGGGGAGCTAGCGGTCTTAGTCTACTTAGTTATAGGCTACTACTACCTATAAATATACCTATACTTCTTAGTTAACCCTCTTAGGTCCCTTATTAGTCTATAAGTAATAGGCTATACTAAGTAGCTATATAATTTAAAGTAGCTAGTATAGGTACTATTAAAAGTAGCTAGTTTAGTTCGATCCTTTATTACTTCTAATAGAGGTTAGCTAGCTATATAAGCGGGCCTAGTACTATAAGAAGCGCTTTATATAAGCTTTTATATCTATAGATAGTATTAGCTTTAGTACTATTAATTTACTAAGCTAATCCTTAATTACCTATATATAGTAGTTACTACCTTTTATAAGTAAAAGGTCTATTATAAAGTCTATCTATATATATATATAGAACCGGTTAAGTACTAGAAGCTACTTAAGTAGCCTTTTAAGCTATACCCTTTAAATCTTAGTATAGCTATAAATATTATAGTTATAGAGGAAGCGGTAAACATAGTATTATAAGTAGGGCTAGTAAAAATCCCTTATAAGACCTACTACTATACCCTACCGACCTAAGTAGTATATAATACTAAAGTTATAAATAAGCTAGACTAGCTTCCCTTAAAGCTCGTTTTATTTATCTAGCTTTAGCGGTCTATCTTTCTCCTTAGCTTTTATAGTATATAGCGCGCTTAGTACTTATAGTCTCCCCTACTAATATAAATGCCCTTATAGGTCGATATTGTTACGGCCAGGCACATACGAGCCTTGACGGCTATAAAGATGTATTGGCACTATGAACAAAGACTCAAAGCTAAGGAGCAAGAAAGGAAGACTAGACTACACGACCGAGCGGGCCCTTATATAGACACGAGGTCGCGCGTGGGCACGTGATGCTGCTTGGGCACGTGACACTGGTGAGGTTCTGCGCTGGCGGCTCTACGCTGGCGCCCAGGGTCGTGACACTGCCCCCCGTCTAAGGCCTTGATATGCGTATCAAGGTAGTCAGTCGTGGCGGCGGGTTCTTGGTTTCACGGCTTTCTCTGCTGTGTCGTCATCGTCTCGTTCCTCGCAGCCCTCCTCCGCTGCAGCACATTCGATCCAGTATTGCAGGTTGACGGGTGGGCCTGCTGCGTCCGGATGTTCATCGTGGAAAATCTTCAATGCCATTGGTGCGTTACGGAAATTCCTAGCCGGGTACCAGGTCTCATCAGGGTCACATCCCTTCCATAAGACCTGGTATTCCAGTCGTCGACTCCTACCGGTTACTCGAGACTGCTGGACTTGATCAACCTCCCACTCGGGTTCTCCGTTGATCTCCTCGGGTGGCGGAGGTGACTGGATCTGCTGGGGCAAGGGTTATCGGCTGCTTTTCGAAGACGGTCGGCGTGGAATAGGTTCTTCATTTTGTACGACTCGGGCAGCTGCAGTGCGTAGCTATGACCGCGTTCTTCCAGGATTACGAACGGACCTGACCATTGGTTATCTAGCCGAGTAGTCGGAGCGTTCGTGGCGAAGCCTTTCCTGCTGAGAAAACTCGGTCACCGATGGCAAAGTCGGTTGGTCGTCGTTTCCTATTAGCCTGTTCCTTCTGACGTTCTTGAGCGGCGGTGGCAGCATTCCTGGCGTCTTCCTGGGTTTCCTGGGCGGTCTGCACAAGTTCCCTTGCTCTGGCGGCGGGTCCGGTGGCAGCGGTCTTGTCAGTCGGGGGCAGTGACAGGGGGTTCCGGATATCTCGGCCTAGGGCTACTTTTAACGGTGCCATGTCGATGGAAGAGTGCCAAGACGAGTTATGGGCGAAGTCGAGGGCGGCAGCAGGGAACTCCAGTTATCTTGATGCTTCGTCACGTAGAATCGTAGCTTTTGATCTAGGTATTGATTTGTGACTTCTACACCCCTTGGGTCTGAGGGTGTAGGAGCTTCCATGACGGATGCTTCGTTCCGTGAGCCGGTTAATCTCTGCGAGGAAGGCAGAAATAAACTGTCCAGCGTTGTCAGAAATCCATACGAGGGGCATACCGAAGAAACGATAGAGGTAGCGGAAGTAGCGGCTAGCTAAGACTTCTGCCGTATCGTTTTTCTTTCCTGGGAGCGTGGCGATAATCCGGCTTAGCTTGCAGACGAAGGTCCAAACATAGTCATATCCGTAACGGTCTTTCGGCATATCCTTCCCGTCACATTCGACGTGCTCCCAAACAGAGGTCGGTACGGGCAGTGGATGGAGCAGTCCAGGGTCTTGTCTCGAGGGGTTTGTTGCGGCGGCAGTCGTGGCAGTTCCGAATATAACGACGGATATCCTCCTTCATCCTTGGCCAGTAGAAGTCTCGTTGGAGCAGCTTGATCACCTTGTTCTGTCCGGCGTGAGCGAAGATCTGGGGTTCGTGGGCTTCGCGAATGAGCGCGGTCTGAAGAAACGTCTGCTTGTCTGAGGTCTGGGCTGGTACGACCAGGTGTGTTCCATGGGTACCGAGGTCTTGGAGGAGGTTCTCTTGGCGGATCAACGAAACGAGTTCGGCTCCCTTCGGGACCGAGTTCGGGTCTAGTTCTGGGCGGTCTTGATCGGGCGTCTGCTGTATCCCTCGGTCTTCTGGGGTCTGTAGGGCACTCGTGGCCCTCAGAACTAATGGTCTAGTAGGCTTAGGTTCGGGACTAAAGTTCTGAGGGCAGGTTGCCGGCGGCCGTAGGGTCTAGAGAGTCGGTCGCGAAGCCTAGCCTTTCCGGAGGGATCAGGGTCACCGTGCGTTCCTCGGCTTCCCGGGCCTTTACGGTAGGGAGCTCCGCTGTCTTCCTGGAGAGGGCATCGGCGACTACGTTCAGTCGACCGGGGCGGTAGAGGAAACGGATGTCGAACTGGGCGAGAAAGTCGGACCATCTGATCTGTCGTACCGAGAGCAGGCGCTTCGTAGAGAAATGGACTAAGGCTTCGTGATCGGTGATCACATCGAACTTCTGGCCTAAGAGCTCTGGGTAGAAGTGCTCTAGACTCTGTACGACGGCGAGGAGCTCTCGATCTTGGATTGGGTAGGCTCGCTCGGCCGGGGTCATGGTCTTAGAGAAGAATCCAACGGGCTTCCAGGTCTGATCAGGCTGTTCCTGCCATAGAACACCAGCTGTGGCATTCCGGGAGGCATCGGTCTCCAGTCGGGTCGGCAGTTCTGGTCTAAAGAAGGCGAGGACCGGGGCTTCGATAGCCAGGCGCTTGAGTTGATCAAATGCTTCGCGTTGCTCCGGGCCCATCACAAAGGCAACATCCTTCTTAAGCAACCGGTTCAAGGGTTCTGCCACTCCAGAGGCGTGGTAGCAGAAAACACGGATGAAGTTGCATAGGCCAACGAATGATCGGATCGCGGTGCGGTCTCGGAGGTCCTCAAACTTCCAGTCTTGTATCGATCGAACTTTCCGAGGGTCGACACTAAGGCCCACACCGGCTTCAAGCAGAACGCCGAGGTAGTCAACCTTGGTCACGTTAAATCTAGACTTCTTGATGTCTCCTGGAGGTTTGCCTGATGGAGTCGCCAGATCACTTCTTGACAGTCTTTCCAGTGGTCTTCTTCTTTATCCGAGTAGATCAGGACGTCATCTGCGTAGGCGCTGGCGCACCGGTCGAGGAGATCGTGAAGCTGCGCGTTGATAAACTGCTGGAACCAGGCGGGACCTACCTTCAGACCGAACGGGAGGACTTTCCAGCGGAAAGTTCCGAAACGGGTGCGAAAGGCGGTCAAATACTCGGAGTCAGGGTCCATGCGGAGACGGTGGAAGGCCTGGATCACATCGATCTTCGTGAAGCGTTGAGCTTCACGGCAACCGAAAGCAGTACCTTCGAGGGACGGAGCGGGCGTGATGCGACTTTTAAGATGATCGTTCATCCAACGGTAGTCGATGCAGAAGCGGCGGGCGGTCGTGTTCGGTTTCGGAGCGAAGAGGACAGAAGCGGCGTGCGGACTCGGATCGGGCTCGATGAAGTCTATCTCCCGGAGGTGATCGACAGTCTCTTTCTCTAGAGGCAGATACTTAACGGGCGTGCGGTACGATGGGGTCCTGTCGGCGAAAGAGGCTTCTCAAGCTCTAGGACTACATCGTGACCGGGTCGGCTCGAAGGTAGGGTGTGGGCCTCTTTCTTCGAGAAGAATCCTCTAGATGGGTGAGCTGGGGCGGTAGACGACTACGGACACAAGCAACATGCTCAGGGTCTTCTCCTGAGGAACGGAATGCTTTGTCCCTGGTAGGTCTTTTGATCCGGGGAGACTTTAGCAACGGTTCGAGCACTAGGGACGGTCTGGTCAAGGCCGGAGCTTGGCTCGAGCTGGACTGGATCCCGGGCATCAACGGTTCGAGTTCGTTCCACTGTTCGAATCTCTCGTGAGACTCTACTTGGCAGACCAGGGCGTTAATCAGGGCTTGATCTTCGGAGGCTTGGATCGAGGCGACGGAGACGAAGTCGGTAGCAGGGGCGGTCGTGAGCTGAAAACGGACAGACTTCTTGGCAGACGGAGACTTGGACTGAAACGACGGAGACGGAGTCGGTAACGGGTCGGGACAGAGGCCGGAGGAGTTTGATCAGAGCGGCCCCAGTTCTTGTGGAGGATCCGGTAGCGTTTCTCCTCTTTCTCGAGCAGGCGGTTCCGCCTCTCAGCGTCGGCCTGGATCTTAGGGTCGATCCGACCCGAGAGCGGGGCTTGACGAGAGAGCTGGATCGTCGGGAGAACTTGGCGAGGCAGGAAGATCATCTGGCCAGATGATCTGTCGGGCGGCGCAGTCAAGCAGGAGGCGCTTCTCCCGCATCCAGAAAAGACCGATAAAGATATCATGGCCACACTCAGCTATATCAAATGTCTCGTTTGCGAACGAACGGCCATCGATGACGAAAGTGGCGACCAGCTGTTTCTGGATATAGCCGGCTGGCTTTCCACGGAAGTTTTGGAGGAATCCGACTCGGGAGCTCCTTAATCTGGGCTCCGAGTCTTTGGGCGGCGGACTGGGCGAAGGTTGGGCTAACCAGCAAACGGGTTTCGGCTCCGGTATCACAGAGGGAGCGGGCAGGTAGGCTCACACCATCCACTTGGACTTGACTTGGCAGAGTGAATGACTTGCTAGACCTACTCGCTGTCTGTGACACCTTAGGGACCATCAAGGAGTCTTGTGATGGTCCTATTCGTTTCCCGAATCTTGATCAGAGTCGTTGGCAGGGACAGGGACGGAGGCGACACGGGAGACAGCATGGGTGCGGTCGGGACACTCGCGAGAGGTGCCCTGTTTTCCACAAATAAAGCAGGTGCCATTATCCCAATGGACCCTTTTCTCATCGTCGGTCAAGGCTCTGCCAGCATCACGCGAGGTGATAGGGTCGAGCCGGTCTTGTTCGGAGTCTTGGCGGTAGTCGGAGCAGTCTTAGTCGGCGCGCGGCGAGATCGGTCGGAAGAGCGGGAGTCCTGTGTCTGCCTCATACTCCTCTTCTGGCAGTGGACAGCGTCTTTAATGAACCCACAGAAAACCTCGTAGGTCACGGACTCGTCGCGGGTCTTGGTCAAGAGGCTGTTATCTAGGTTGGCCGGGATGTGCTGCCACAGGGTATGCTTCATCTGGTCCTCGGGCACACGACCGGTCGCAGTTAAGTAGTCAAATTCCGCAAGAAAGTCCACAATGTCGGTCTTCCCATTCACGGTAAACTGGAGGCGTTGCAGGCGGTCAAGAGCCTCGGAAAGCTCATTCGGATTGCCATAGGCGGACTCAAGGGCTTGGATCATCTCTGCCACTCCAGAGAAGGGTCGAGTGTCAGAGGAGAAGCGGGTTTCAAGTGCTCGGCGGGCTTTTCCTCGAGCAGGTTATACAGACAGACCATCCGGCTGTTCTCAGTCCGGAAGGTTCGCACGTCTTCGTCAAATTTGTTCTTTATGCTCAGGATGAAGGAATGGAACTCGTCCTTCTTCCCTGAGAACGTCGCGGAGACCTTGATGCGCGATTTGGCGGCGTCGCTGTACTCGGGGTTCTTGCCCTCTGGGAAGGGGGCAAAAATAGGCCAGGCAGCTTTGCCTGTTGGTCGGAAGGCCGGGCCATTTGGGCCGGCAAAAGCAGTCGAGGGCTCCCGGTGCTGTCGATTTGATTCAACAGACGGAGAGCGTTCATTTAGACGGGCCGTTAAGGCCGCAATCTGTTCTCTCATCTCGCGGATGAGAGCGTCTTGGGGGCTCGGGGCAGCCATGGCTACTATTTCGGATTCAGTGGCTTGGCCAGCAAGCCGGGTGGAACGGCGAGGCTGATCCGATGGCAGGGCTTCCTCAGATATCATAGTCTCGAGGTCAGAGTCTAGGGTCGGAAATGATACCACGCGGAATCACGGTCAGATGCCTGCACGAGCAGGGACGGTCGGAGGTCAGACGGGACGACTCCTTGGTCGGAACGGTTGGTCGGACGACTACACACACGCGTAGTCTTGGTCGGAACGGACGTGATCTCAGCCTTGAGGATCACTTGGTCGGTGGTCGGAGTCTTGGTCGGAACGGTCAGAACGGATGCGCTGGATTTACGTCAGGCGCGTGTGACGTGAAAGCTCGGTGCCTATTTGCTTAATCGCTGGCAAGCGATCTTATTGAGCTTTGAGTAGTGTTACGGCCAGGCACATACGAGCCTTGACGGCTATAAAGATGTATTGGCACTATGAACAAAGACTCAAAGCTAAGGAGCAAGAAAGGAAGACTAGACTACACGACCGAGCGGGCCCTTATATAGACACGAGGTCGCGCGTGGGCACGTGATGCTGCTTGGGCACGTGACACTGGTGAGGTTCTGCGCTGGCGGCTCTACGCTGGCGCCCAGGGTCGTGACAGATATAATAGTCGGCTACTTATACCTTTAGCTTTAGCTTTAAATTAAGGCATCGAGCGCTAGACTTAACGGCGCGGTATACGCTCTTATAAGTATAGTCTAGAGATAATATCCTATCTTATAAGCGTTAAAGGACCTTATCTTAAAATACCTATGCCGTACGCGCCCTTAAGCCGGTTTATCCCTCCTCGCTAAACTAAGGTAAAGGTATAAGGGAAAGCTTATTTATTAGCACCGCGCCTCCCTCTACTAAGGAAGCTCTTATATAAGTCTATAGCGCCTCTTATAAGATAAGCTATAGATCCTATGCCTTAATATCTACCCTTATTAGCCGGTCTTAATCCCTTTAAGAAAGCGTATCTAAGACTATAGAGTTTTACCTTAGCCGGTACTTAATTAAGAAGTTAAAGTATAAGAGATACTCCGCTTAGTAGGCTTACCGCTTTAAGAGGTACTAGTAGGTTATAAAGTACTTAAGGTTCTTATAGTCTATAAGAACCTTAAAGCTCTTATAGCTTTAAAGCTTTACTTACTATTACTTAAGGTAGCTAATAATCGCTAATATCTCCTTATTATAAATAGCGTAATTCCGCTCCGCTAAGGTTAGCTTATAAGAGTAGAACGCTATTAGTTACTTCTACTTATCTACCTCCTAGGAGAGTATTCCTTTAAGTACCTAGCCGCTATAGTTTACTTTAACTAATATAGACTAATTAAAGTCTTATTAAAGTAATACTAAGGCTTACGAGAATAGGTCCTTAAGCGTATAAAACGCTCTTTCTTATATAGGCCCTTAATAAAAAGCGGTTTACTTCCTAGTAATCTCGTTTAAAGGTATTATAATATAAGAGAAGCTCTTAATAAATATCTTATAATAGTTTACGAACCTAAGGAAGCTTTATATACCTATTTATATAGTTAGGGCCGCTTATCTTAAATCGCTTAGATCTTTATAGGATCTACCTATATACCTACGCCTATATAAATAATAAAGCCTAGGTACTTAACCCTCTTAACTTTAAATTTATACTTATCTAGGTTAAAGTAAAGCCTATAAAGTTAAAGGCGCTTTAAGACCCTCTATACTTTCTATATATAGTCTTTATAGGAGCCGCTTATATAAATAAGGATATTATCTATATATATAGAGGCGAACTTATTAAAGAAGTCTTAAAGTATATTATTAATATAACGCTAAAAGGTAGCGGGCGCTTTTAAGAGGCTAAAGGGCGTTATAATCTACTTAAATAAGCCGTAGTATATATAGAACGCTGTCTTTTACTTATTACCCTTTAAGATCTATACCTTATAGAACGCTTATTTTACGTTTAGCTTTATAAACTACTTTACCTTTAAAAGGTTATAGAGCGTATCTAAGATTAAGGGTAAGGGGTAGCGGTCTAGCTTTATAATTACGTTTAAAGCCCTATAGTTATAATAAAACTATATCCTGCCCTTTAGTTTATATATAAATAAGACTAGCGCTCCTACCTTAGAGCTACTTACTTAAATAAAACCCTTATTTAAGAGGTCCCTTAGCGTCTTTTTTAGTACTAATAGCTCTATATATAATATATTATATAGCAGTCTAAATAGTATAAGCGGTTCTTACCCCTTTTTATTAATATAAAGTATAATCCTATAGTCTACCTTTAGCTTATATAAGTTAAGCTTATTTACTTCCTAAGACTTAAATAGTAAGAGGAGGTCGTAAAAGCGCTTTAGTATCTACTATTATAGCTTAGAGGGCGACTTTAGCTTCTTTATTTAAAGGGCCTTATTAATATCTACTAAGCTAACTATATAAACCGCTATATTAGCCGCTACCTAGCCTTCCTCCCGCTCTACCTATCGTATAGTTCCTATAAAGATAGAGGTAAGGACTTTTTAGGCTAAGTATAAAGCTCGTATACTTAGTTTAACGCCTATAGAACTATTATTATAGTAGACCTACTATTATATAGGCCTAAACTATAGCTTCTTTTAGTATAGAACTAAGTATAACTCTATATATAATAACTAAGGTTTCCTAAGGATTAAGGGAAACTCTAGCTAAGGGATTATATAAGCTATAATAAGCTTATAATAACTATTAACCTTTATAGCTAGCTATATAATACCCTTAATTACTATACTTTCTATCGCGCTTAAGGCGCCTTTTACTTACCTTAAGGCGATCTTCTTTACTAGTACTTATATCTTTTATATAAGCGCCTCGTTAACTATAGTATAGTACTAATAGCCCTTACTTATAAGGGCAGCGATAAGTAAAGAGTTATTAATTATAACCTATATTAAAGTAAGCTCTTTTTTTATATAGGTAGATAATTCCTCTTTCTCCTTTACTAGTACTAGTAATTAAGGCTCTAGAGCTTATCTTTACTTTAGAGCTACTCTTTTTCCTCTAGGCCTAGGGGTATAGAGTCCTCTTTATTATCTAAGGTAAAGAGCGGTTCTATCTTTACTACTTAAACTACTATAAGCCGGTTAGCTAAAAGGAAGGGGCATTTAAATATAAAGTATATAAACGCGCTATAATATAAGTAGCGGCCGTTAGCCTTTCTTTTTCTAATTTCCTTACTTATTACCTACTTCGCTTACTACTTAAAGTATAAGATAGTATAGGGGATATTTAATAATAACTTCCTACTATATTTAGCTCGGTCTATATAAGTAGCTAATATTAAGGTATCCTTATTAATATCGATAGTTAGCTATTCCTCTTATAAAGAGGCAGTAATCCTATTACCGCTATATAGTATATACCTATAAAGCTTTTAAAAACATAGCGTCTACTTATAGCCCTATACTACCTTTATTAACCGGCTTATATACTCGCTATAGTTAATAAGTATAATTATAAGGATAAGTAGCTCTTATAAAGCTAGCGTAATTAACTTTTATAACTATATAAGCTTTACGCTATCTTCTTATACTATAGTTCCTACTACCTATAAGAGCGTCTCTTTAAAGTTAAGGAGGAATTCGCTAAAGGTCTATCCGTCCCTTTACTTAAGGGTCTATAACCTATCCTATGCCTTCTCCCGCTCTTATATATTGCCGAACGTATATATAAGGTATTAAAAGAAGTCCTATAGGTCGCGTCTACTTTTAGGGCCGCCCTTATCCTAGAATCTAGAGATCCGCTATATCTAGGGCTCTAGTAGTATATAAAGGAGCGAATACTATACTATATCGTAATAGCCGTTTAGGCCCTATTTCTTATTTATTATAAACTTTATCTATAGCTAGCTAAGGAAGAAGTAAAAGGACTTAAGCTTACTATCTTAAGTCGGCTAAGGAAGCGGCTTTTATATTAGTAGTACCGCTACTATAACCGGTATTATAGAGGTTATAGGGGTTAACGCTAGTCTTATAGACAGCTCCCTTAATATAGCGAGAACCTTATTCTTCTCGCTAGCTATCGCGCTTTTAATTGCTTCTAGGATAGCTACGATACTTCCTATCTACCTAGGGAGTAGCGGGGTGCTCCTTTAAGAAAGCGGCACCCTTTTTAAGGAGATATCTATTAGATCTATTAATTAATAGCTTATACTATTATAGAGTAGGTAGAGGCGTATATATAGGTGCTATTTATAAGATAATATTAATAAGCTATATAGAGCTCTTCTATATACGGCTAGCCCGTATATATATATATAGGATCTAGCCCTTTATATATAACTATATAGCTTAGGCTATAGCCTAAGCCTATAACTTATAATAGTTAAAGACTCTTATAATAGTAAGTAATATAATAATAGTATCTCTTCTTTAGCTAGTAGTAGCTTAGGGATATTAACGTTATAGTTATATACTAAGTAGTTAACCTTCTTACTATATAGTACTAGCTTACTATAGCCGCGATACCCTTATTTATATAAGAGTTAACGCTATTATAGCCTTATAGTAAGAACTTTATATACTAATTTAGGCTACCTTAAGCCTACGTTATCCTTAAACGCCTCTAAGCTAGCTTAATACTTAATAAGGCTAATATTCTTTTATAATAGTAGCTTAAGAAGCTATTAGTAATACCCCTTTTTAATAGGTTTCTTACTAATTCCTACTACTAAGACCTTAATAAGCTATTACTTTAAATCCGTAATCCTAACGTTATTATAGTTATACAGGTAAGGCAACCCCGCACGGGTTGCGCAATAAGCCTTTCGGAACGAAGATTACGACCGGAGGGGAAGAGAAAAGAGCAAACATAAGAGAGGCAGAAGGAATAGATAAGGGACGAGAAGCCATTGGTAGGACCTACATCTAGGGAATAGCCGAGGCCATATCGGCCGCGGGGTAGTGCAGCAGGCGTCAGTCAGTAGGGACCATAGACAGCTAGCGCGCATAATAGTAGGTAAGTAGCATACGTAAGGACATGCCAAGTCGGGAGGTAGAGGAATATGGATATGTGATTAAGAAGCATGTTATGCGCCGCGCGGAGCATGGCGAAGAGAGGGGCTATACGTCAGCGGCATATATATGAAGAATGTTTGCCTAAGGAGGTAGTAGCATAGTAAGTAGGTAAGGCCAAGAGAGCAGACGCAATAGAGGGCAGCACCCATTACGATGAAGCCAGCCAGCATCGAATGGCAGCACGGGGCGGAGAGCGGCGTAGGCCCAGCACGGAGGCAGCCAGAGGACCATACACAGCAATGAGGTTCAGGCCGATCTCGGCGGCGCCGGTGCCCGGTACGGAGGGCCGGCAGGGGGCGCATGAGAGGGCGTCAGGGCTGGTGCTGCCGAAGCGAAGGCGGCGGGGCGGCCGGCCGGCGAGAATCAGGGAGGACCGGCGCGGGGAGGCAGGCACGACCAGGGCCACGGCGGAAGGACGCCCCAGGCACAAGCGACCAGGGGCGATGGAAGGAAGACGGCGCCGTCGACACCGGAGACGAGGCGGGAGGCGAAACGTAGAGAAGCCGGCGAGGCGAGGTGGTTTCCTTCTCACGCCGCCAAGCTCCGGCCGCGCGCCGCGGCCCGGGCGGGAAGGAGGCCGGGGCGGCCAAGGCAGCAGATCGACATAAGCCAGCAGCCGCTATTCCGGGATATCCAGCCGCGGCCGACATCGGGGCGGCTCTGGCGACACAGCCGTGGAGCGCGGCGGGCCCAGCCCCAGGTCCGGCGGCACGTCAAAGACGGCCTCAGAGGATACAGCCCCGGCCGGGGAGGGGGCCAGGGGGTGCCATCGGGGACGCCGCCGAGGCGCACAGCCCAGTGCAGAAATGAAAAGCCAACTCGCCGGTATAGTTCCCAAGCAGGCCCCCAGGGTCGGTCGACGGACAGAGGTGGTTAACGTGATGTAGATGAGACGACGATGGGCCCGCCGCCCCTCGACAGAGACAGAAGAAAGCGCAGCCCGGTCGGCAAAGAAATCGAGGCAAGACATGGCGGCCGCGCGTCAAGCATGGCCGGGCCGTCCCTAGGCCCCACGGCAAGTCAACAGGCGCCTCGGGATATCCTGCCTCGGCCAGTAGCCGCGATAGAGAGCGCCACAGGGGACATGGCTAAGGCCGCAGAGCCTGGCGAAGCAATAGAAGGCCGACGCGCAGGTAGGGATCCTAAACGGGGCCAAGGGGTGTGCATAGAGACGTCTAATAGGGTATAGATGGGATGACGAGAGGCCCGCCACGTCGAGAGAGACAGAAGAGGAAGGGTGTAACGACGAGACAGAACTAACAACGGGTGCACGTGCCCGTGCACGGACCACACCCAAGGCTGTATATAAATCTCTGCCTACGGGCTTCTCTTCTTTCTTTCTCTTGGACCCTTAAGCTGAAACTTCGTCCATAGAGCCAATACAAGGATAGCCGTCAAGGCTTAGTTCTGGCCGTGACAAGGCAGTGCCGCCAGCGGACAGACCGAGGCAAAACGGAGCCGCGGCGACCAGAGGAGGCCAAGGCCAAGGAGATGCAGGCCGAAGACCTGGCGGACGTGCTGCGGGGCCTCGAAGAGGAGTTCGAGGCGGGCGAGAGGCTGGCCGAGGCGGGCGTGGTGCGCGCCGGTGCCGCGCGAAAGGGAGGTCAGGACGGTACGGAGGTTCTACCGGGCGTTCCACAACACCAGCGCGCTACCGACCGCAACATGCAGTCTCTGCTACCGCAAGCGGGCCCGGGAGGAGCTAAGGGAGATGGCGTGGGAGCGAGTAAACCTACCGGGCTCGGCGCTCTCGGGCGGCGCTGCCGCGGCAGGAGGAGGTGCGGGCTATTAAGTCGCAGCAGAGGAGCGCCGCGCGGGAGCGGAGCGGGCCATACAGGGCATCCAGGGCTCCCAAGGCGGCGGGGCGGCGGCAGGGTCGGGGCGGACCGCGGCGCGGCCCTCCGCGGGGTCATGGGGATTCGGCGAGGATGACATGGACGTGACGGCGGCCGACGGCGACCCAGACGTAGGCACGGCGGCGGGGATGCGCGTGCGGCTCCGCCCCTCCAGCTCCTTCCCCGCCGCCGGCCGGGAGCTGGCCAGGCTGACGCTGAACGAGAAGCAGTCGATCGCCCTCCTCATCGTCTGCCGGCAGCTCGACCAGGTCCGGCAGGCCAATGAGGCAGGCGGCGACGGAGACGGGGAAGGTCAGCTCTGCCTGTTCATCGGCGGCGAGGGCGGCACCGGCAAGTCGCGCGTCATCGAGGCGCTCGTCGAGCTGCTCGCCCGGAGGGAGCTGTCGAGCCGGATGCTAGTCACAGCGACGTCGGGCACGGCGGCAGCGCGGATCAACGGCATCACCCTCCACTCGGCCTGCGGCCTCGCCGTCGGCCAGGGCGGCCAGGCGGGAGGGCGACCAAGGGGTGGACGGCGTGCGGCTGCCGGGCGCGGGCGAGCGCTTCGTCGACGGCCGGTCGCGCATGGACTGGCGGGAGAAGGAGGTGCTGGTGGTCGACGAGGTCAGCATGCTCGGGGCGCGCACGCTATACGCCGCCAACGAGCAGCTCTGCCGGCTGCGGGGGTCGGCGCGGGACTTCGGCGGCATCCCGGTGGTGATCTTCTGCGGCGACTTCCACCAGTTCCGGCCGGTGCAGGAGCGGTCGATCCTGCTGCCGAGCGCGGCGGTGTCGTGGGACGAGGACAGGGCCTTCACGGCCGAGCAGCGGCGGCAGCACGACAAGGCGCACGCGCTCTGGCGGCGGTTCACGACGGTCACCATGCTCGACGAGCAGATGCGGGCCGCCGGCGACCCCGAGCTGCGGCGCCTGCTCGGGCGGATCCGGCGGGCGAGCAGGACCGGTCGGACCTCGAGCTGCTCAACTCGAGTGCCACCGGCCGGCAGGCGGATCCGTGGGAGACAGGCGTGACGGTGGTCACGCCGCTCAACCGGAACCGCTGGAACCTCAACCTCGAGGCGGCGCTCGCGTTCCGGGCGCGGCAGCGGACGGCGGCGCGCGTCTTCCTCTCCGAGCACAAGTGGAAGGACGGCACGCCGACGGAGGAGGAGGCGGTGCTGATGCTCGGCCAGGGCGACGACAGCGCGACGCCGGTGCCGGCCGTCTTCGTCTTCGTGCCGGGCATGCCGGTCGTCGTGAACCAGAACACGCACCAGGGGCTGAAGGTGGTGAACGGCGCCGGGAACACGGCGGTGGCGGTGATACCCGACCGGGCCTTCCCGGCCACCGCGTCTCGGCGGAGCTGACGGTGCACTTCGGGCCGCCGGCGGGCATCGTGCTGGCGTCGGAGACGACCAGGGACCTCCACTTCGTCGGGATGCCGTCCGGGACGATCCTGCTGACGCCCATCACCGTCAAGATCACGGCGCAGCGGAAGCGGCCCTGGCAGCGCAACGACGTCGGCCGGCGCGGCCTGCCGTGCGCCGCGGCCTTCGCCTGCACCGACTACAAGGTGCAGGGCGGGACGATCGAGCGCGTCGCGCTCGAGCTGCGAGGGCGAGGACGACGACGGTCGAGGGCAGGGCGGTGGCGTCGCCGTGCGACCCGTACAGCCTCTACGTGCAGCTCTCGCGGTGCCCGACGCTCGACGGCATCATGCTCGTATCGGAGGTGCGGGAGCGGGACCTTATAGGAACCGGGTGCCCGGGGAAATGACAGCGGCGCAGGCCCGGCTAGAGGAGCTAAGCAAGCAGACAACACAGGAAGCAGGTAGCCTACTCCGCAGCTAAGGTAGGCGGGATTAGGACCATCACGATATTTATTCAGGGGAGAGGAAGACATATCTTAGCAAACTCGCCACCAAAGCGTCTTACTTCATCATCACCGAGAAGAAGGATAGAAGTAGGGATAACAAGGGCAACAACAGGAGAACGCCGACGAATGAAAAGAGCTCAAAAGCGCCGACCAATCAGGGGGCCGGAATGGCGGGGGGAAATTGATGGCGAATTTTTTTTTCCCCGGGGAGGAACCCTTAAGTCCTTTCGTTCCGAAAGGCATAAGGCCGGCCCCATAACGCGAAGTTGCCTATACCTAGCTCGCTCGCAGCCGGGGCATCGTAAGTTATAACGGCGGCGGCTACTACGCTAGCAGAAGCAATAGTAGCGGCGATAGCGATAGCGGCCGCGACGGCCGCGACAGCCGCGGCGGCAGACGCCGCAGCGGCAACAGCGGCGATAAAGGTATCACGGCGGCTGCCTAATTCGAGGGGCAGCTCGAGGCGCCTTAACGTAAGCATACGACGGCACCGGGGCTAAGATAAGATCGACGAGCTAAGCTAGAGCCCTCGGTCCCTCGCAGCGTCCTAACAACGATTGCCCGCCCGAGGAAATACTAAGGGAAGGGGATTAAGAGGAGGATATAGCCGGAGGGGCACGCCTATAGCCTCGTCGCAGCCGGCGGCATCGTCGCAGCCGGCTGCTTCGTCGGGCGTTAGAGGGATCGTTGAGTGGCAAGCTATTGAGTGGGTGCCGCCGCCGCCGCCGCCGCCGGCCACATAGCCATAAGGGCAGCGGCGGCGGCAGCGGCGGCAGCTGCAGCCGGGTCAATTAGTAGGCTATTGCAATATTAACTTAAGGCTAGAAATGCGTTATTTGAGCGAATTGAGCGGACGCGTTATGCGGCCGCAGATGCGCCGGCGGAAGGGGCGCAAAGTGTATGTGTATATGTAGACGAGGGCATTTGGAAGGTACGGGTAATTACTTGCTAGGGCGGACGCGGTATAAGTAGTGCGGGGGCCTGGCGCGGGTACGTATTTAAAAAATGGGTCTATTATACTAATAGTAAAAGGGCGTTGTATAAATAGCTTTACTCTATTAGTGATAGGCCCTGACTAAATATCTAGCCCGCCTAATAGGTAGGTCAAAAAGCGGGGGAGTGTGGCTGGTCAAGGCATAGAGCTGATACTGGAAATTTGGGTGCGCACGTTCCCTGCACCTACGTAGCAAGCTGCCACGGTAAACCAGAAAGTAAGGGTTTCGTAATACGTAGAAAATGCAGATTGAGTGTTCTGGCGGCGTTATGGCGTGTATGTCTCTAAGAGAGGCCTTCCTCATATAAAACTTGCTGTGCTTGTTCTTCTTCTCGGACCTCTCTGCCTCTGCCTTATCCCATTGTGCGGCCATGACCTCCCACTCAGCCGGTGCAATCGACTTGTTCTCTGCATCTTGTAAGAGTTCTTGCGAGAGCTCTGGCAAAAGCTGCTGGAAGGGCAGCACGATGATAATTTCGTCTTGTGTGGGGTCAACATGTTAGTATTGTAACTAGCTGCCACCAGCACCTCCACGGCATATAGGTCCACTTCCAGGTCATTTGTCGGAGTATCACTTCACTTTGGCCTGCACAACACACTGGTTTCCTCACAGTAACCCTGAAGCCTTGTCACCTGACAGGGCTGAGGGGAACCAAGGGTTGCTGCTACAGAAGATACACCAAAGCTGACGTTACTGTGGTAATTGGGGGCTCGGGGCCGTTTCAGAGCTTAGACTTGTAAAACGACAAAAGGGAGGTCACATGTTACGGTTACGTACGCTGTTCCGGCGTCTCACCGCCCAACACGTAGTACGGCGTCTTTCCGTCGAGAGGGGGGAGAGGCCTTCCCCTCATACGTACTCCATGTGTCGTTTCCCTGGCTAGCGAGTCTCTCCGGGCAGAACATACCGCGAACAGCAAGCCCCTGTTGGCATCGTCATTATGGCAGACGGTGGCAAGCATGTCGCACTCCAACATCGCGGAGACCGGGCTGTTGCCGGCCCCGACGGCCCCACTGCCACGACCAAGGCCGGAGCCGAGCCTCGCGCCGATGCCGATGCGGACCCCGTCGAGCCCATTCACACGGAGCACCAGCTTAGCTTCCTCGAGGCTGTCAGGCTGTACCCAAAGGCCATCGCATGGTCCGCTTTTTTCTCCATCGGGGTCATCTCGGCTGCTTTCGACCAGCAGCTCGTGGGCAGCCTCTACTCAGCGCCACAGTTCCAGCGCGACTTTGGCTATAAGTATAGAGGCGAGGTGAAACAATCGGCTTCCTTGCTCCATTGCTATTAATTTTTTTTACCACCATTGCACTCTCCAGATTCGCAGGCCCTTCCACTCCTCCTTCCCCTCATCCTCCTCCGCCTCGTCCTCGCCATCCTTATAGTCGCGTATTGTGCGCATTCTTACTAGCGGTGGCTAATCTATGGGAGAGCCTCGAGTTGAGCAGTACATCATCGATGCATCGTGGCAAAGCGGGCTGAGCATGGGCCCACCCGTCGGCCAGGTCGTCGGCGCACTCTTCGCCGCATACCCCATGGAGTGGTTTGGCCGCAAACGCACGTTCGCAGCCTGTGTGGTTGGCACCGCGGGGCTCGTTTGTATACAGTTCTTTGCTCGTGCCATTGGCGTCCTCGTCGTAGGCGAACTGCTCGCGGGCCTGGTGCTAGGCGTCTTCGTCGTCATTGCGCCAACCTACGGCTCCGAGGTGTGCCCGACAGCCATCCGGGGCCACCTTACATCTTATATCGAGCTATGTTTTGTCCTTGGCCAGCTCGTAGCCAACGGCGTCACCGTTGGCACCCAGCACATGCGAACCCACTGGGCCTACTCGCTCCCCTTCGCCCTACAGTGGTTCTGGGCCGCTATCATCATCCCTGGCCTGTTCTTCGCTCCGGAGAGTCCTTGGTGGCTAGTGCGCAGGGCCCGCTTGGATGATGCCCAGGAGTCGCTGCGCCGCCTGGCCTCGCCCGACGTTGACGTTGCAGCGACACTCGCCTTTATCGTCGAGACGAACCGGCTCGAGCTGGAGCTTGAGGCGGGAAGCACGTATCGGGATTGCTTCAGGCGCGTCAACTTGCGACGCACCGAGATTTCGTCTGGCGTTTACTGTGCCCAGGTATTGTCGGGAATTTACCTTATCAGCTACGGAACCTACTTTTTCCAGCAGGCTGGGCTACCGACGGACCAGGCCTTTAACATGTCGGTCGCATTCCTGGGTGAGTTGGGCGGCGAGGGATGATATTATGCTCATGGTCGATGCATTTCTCGCTAAATGTCAGCTGTCTTCGCAGGCATCGGCTTTCTCGGCGTCCTCGTGTCTTGGTTCCTCCTCGTTTGCGTCGGGCGCCGGGCTCTCTACGTCGGCGGCCTCGCCGTCTTGTCCGGTCTGCAGCTTCTCATCGGCATCCTCGACTGTGTCCCCGGACGCCCAAGCGGAGTCATATGGGCAGAATCTGCCCTGATGCTTGTATGGAACTTGCTATACAACATGACCATTGGTCCTGTCTGCTTCGTTCTTCTGTCCGAGTGCTCCGCTACCCGCGTGCGCTCCAAGACGATTGCGGTGGCCACAGCTGCGCAGGGGCTCTTAGGCATCGTTATGACCATTGCAATTCCCTATATGATTAACTCGGCCCAGGCCAATATGCAGGGCAAGCTGGGCTTTTTCTTTGGAGGGCTGGCTGGACTTTGTCTACTTTGGGCCTATTTTCGTGTTCCTGAGACTAGAGGCCGGACTTATGAGGAGCTAGATCTCTTATTCGACAAAGGGGTGCCCGCGAGGAGGTTTAAGCGCTACCAGTTAGACAACATACTAGGGGTGAGAGCTACGGATAGTCGATGAAAAGCAAGTTTGCATTACAAGCTGTATCTATAACGCCGCATAAAACGAGGGCGTCACTATATTATAGTAATAAGCGGAAGGTAACATTAGTAATTATATAGACTATAAATATATCTATAAAGAGGGGTTTTTATTTATACGCGTAGTAATACCTTTAGTATATTACGACTAAAGTCAATAAGTTACGCGTCGAGGGTTCTATAAGACAGGGCTTTAATCTGCCTTATTTAACTTAGGTGTTAATAGATAGGATATAAAAGCTCTATAGTCCTAACTATATTCCCTCTTTTCGCTTTAGGAATAACTATAATTATTAGTTACTAACTATAACTTTAATTACTAGGATTAATACGTTTTTTTCGGCTAACTTTTCGAAACTAAGCTTAAAATATAATAAATAATATACGCCTAGAACCCTCTTAAAGAGCTTATTACGTTCCCTTAAATAGAGCCTTATATAGCTACTAGCGGGTATATAATATACTACCGAAGTTAGCGGGTTAAGCTAGGTTTTCCCTTATATAGGTAGAAAACTCTTCCCTACCCTAGCTAAAATAGAGATAGGGATAGTAAAGTAGCTAGAAAAGGAGTAACCTAGGGGCCCTAGGGCCCTTAAGGGGGAAAATTACTATATAGGAGGAACTAGACTAACCTTTCCTTTATTATTACCTTTATAGCTACTCTTTTCTTAATTAGTTATAAGCCCCTAGGCTCTATAGCTAGCTAGGACTACTAATAAAGGCCTAGGCCCTTACTAGCCTCGCTATAGCCCTAGAAGCTATATAAGAGTAAAAAAGAAAAGAAAAACTAAGGGTATATACCCCTTACTAATAGAACCTAGCCCGGACCCGACCTAAGACCTTAGCCTAAGCCCGAGGCGGGCCCCTTTGACCCCCCCCTACCCCCTACCTTAACTTAAGGGCCGAACTAAGTACCTTAGAAGCTAGGGCCCGCTTAAGGTAAGCTCTATAAAGCTAATACCTTTTAAAGACTATAGAAGAAAAGCCTAAGGCCTAAGACTAAGACTAGGAGGATATTAAGATAGAAGATAATACTTAGCTTAGTATACTTAAGACTAACTTCTTTAAGCTTAGCCTAGCCCTACCTTAGGCTAACTACTTCTAGCTTAATAAGCCTCTTAAGTAAGTAAAAGTATAAAAGAGGGCTACTCTTAATAGCCTTATTATTATAACTATAGTTATTAGGCTATATAATTTAATAGGGATAAGGGTATATACCTAAAGCATACGTAGTATATAGCTAAGGATTAGTAGAGTAATTAACCGCGTAATTATTTAATTATCGGTCCTATATATAGCTCTAAGGGTCTTAGGTTATTAATATAAGTCTTAGAGATTTCTTTACTTTATACCTCTTTATTTTTATTAAAGTTATATAACTAGTAGCCCTTACTTTAAAGGAAAAAAATAAACGTTTAAATTAATTATTATTAAGAAGGATATCTAATTAAATAATCTATGCTTTTATAAATTCTTTAAGTATACTTAAAGGGGGGGTAGATAGGAAGCGCTAGGGGTCTTATCCCTTTAATAAGCTAATATCTATAAGGGTATAATCTTACCTCTTAAACTCCTCCTTAATAGCTTTCTAACCTAAGATACTAATAAAAAGGGTATAAGAATAATAAGTAAGGGCTCTTATCTTAAGTAAGTAAGTAAGTAAATTAACTATTAATAGAACTTTTCTTCTTTATTATAATCCCTTTCTTTTTTATTATTTATTCCTCCCTTTACTTATAAGTTACTCTTTTAGCTCTTTTCTATCTTTACTTATATACTTCCTTCTTTAAATAATTATTTACTACCCTTTATATACTCTCTTAAGTATTTACGCTTATTATTCTTAAGGGCGTTAAGGAAATAAAGTAGTTAGCGCTTTTACTAGTCTATAGCTTTTAGTATAGTTAGATTAAATAAGCTATAGATTCTTATAGACTAATCGTTATTATATTACTAATAGTCTTATATAAATATATAGAGTTATAGTCGTTAATATCTTAGTAATAGTTTTAATACGTTCTTAAGTTTTTAATTCCTTTAACTTAAGTAGGTTTAAAGCTTAGTATAAACCTTATAAGGACTATAGCTAGAAAGCCTATTACTATACTTTATTTCTAGGGAGTAATAAGGCGCGCTATAAGTATTATTAAAGTCTTTAGCTTTAAGGTAATTAACTAAGCGCTTAGTAATTTTAAAGTCCTAGGGTAAGTTAAAAGCCGCGCTATCTATATTTCTTCCTTACTAGCTTCTTATTAAGTTATTAGCGGGGGTATAGTTATATATCTTTCGCTCCTTTATATATTCTAAGGAGTTATTAGTAGTAGGCGAGGAGTAGGCTTAATTAGCTATATATTTAAAGGGGAGAATAAAGGTATTATTTCTATATAAATAAAAGGACTAATAAGGGCGCTTAGCTCTTTCCTTTATAGACTTTAAGGTAAGGATCCTATCTTAAGGTTACTTAAGGAAAGGCTACTTAGTTTAGATAAAGAGCTTAATTTAATTAATACTTAAAGTAATAAAGGTCTAGGCTTATTCTCGATTCCTATTAATATAATTAAATAGTTAGGGGTCTTTTTAAAGAGGAGTTTTATAAAGAAACTATATATAGCTTAAGCAATTAAGTTTAGTTACTCTATAAGGGCTACTAGTATAAATAGCTCTTTTCTTACTCTCTATTATATACTAGTCCCTTAGTATAGGGCTAGTACTTTAACCTAGCTACTTACTTAGATCTAGTATAAGTCTAATAAGTAATTAAATAGACTAGCTACTATATATAATAAAACGTATTATATAGACTAGCTACTATACGTTATTACGCGCGTTAAATATAAACTAGCTATTAGTTTTATAAGTTAAAGTAAAAGTAGTAATAACTATCTATATTCTTCTCTACCCGCCTAAGATCTAGCGGGTTCTTTATCTTTTATTTATACTATAGTAAGCGTAAGACCTTACTTAGGGCTTTAACCGAGTAATATCTTAACCTTATAATCGTACGACGGTAGTATAGTATATTAGCGGTATTTCCTAGTATTTTCCCTAGGTAGGCATAGGTATTTCTTTATAATTTCCCTACTATATTCTTATAATAACTTTTTAAGGAAATATTAGTATAATCCTTAAGGAGCTATTATTACTTAGGAAATTATAGTATATTCCCTATATAATATATCCCTAAGGGAAATCTTTATAAAATATCTATATAATCCGCTTAGTTATTATCTCTAGGATTTCTAGGTAATTTCTAGAGTTTACTAAGTAGCTTTTAGGTTCCTTCTTTTATAGGGAGCCTTAAGGAGTTAAGGGTAACTTCCTTAAGGGAAGCTAATATTATTATAGGTACCTAAATTATTAAGTATAAGGTATCCTATAATAAATACCTAGGGTAAAAGAATTAACTAATATCCCTATTAGTCTCCTATAGTATTTAAGTAGGAGTCGCGCTAATAAGGAATTATAGTAAAGTTATATAGATTTCTAAGGTTAGTATAAGGGGTAACTTATATCTTATTTAAGATATAACTTAGTATAACTAATACTAAGGGCGCGAGGCCGCTAAGCTAAGAGTAAAATACTACTAAAACTAAGGGCGCTAAGTAGCTAAACCAGGGTAATAAATAAGTAAGGCTAAGGGTATAGTATAGCTAAGCTAGGGAAAACTAATTATAACTAAGGGCGCTTTATAGCTAAGCTAGTAAAAAAATAAATAAGACTAAGGATATAACGAGGCTAAACCGGTAACTAACTATCTTATATTATAGGGGTAATAGTAGGGCAAAGAATCTCCTCCTTAGCTTCCTCCTTTATTAGTTCCTTAGGGCTTATTAGCGCGTTATCTAAGGCATCCTATATATTAAAGGTTCTATAGATAAGTATACTATAGGCGTTATTTAGGGCCGGTTCTACTAAGAGTATTATAGCTAGTTTATTATAAGAAGCTAGAATTTAGTTATAGATTACTACTACTAGTACCTATATAGTTAGGCCTAGGTTCTAGAACCTACCTAGGTATACGTTAGTAAACTTCTAGTCTAATAAGTTAAAATAGGCTATTATATTAGCTATATAAGGGCGGGCCGCTACTAGTATATATAGGGGGCTAACGTAGGCTGCTTTTTAGCGTACTATAGCTAGCTTAGGCGAGTTATCTAAGAGGTAAGTAGCGAAAGTAAACTAATAAATAAAGCTAGTAAGTACTTTAGTAAAGGCAGCGTACTAGCTAAGCGAAAGGTCGGCGTTAGCCTCCTTATAGATAGCGGCGAATAGATTTACTTAAATTACGGCCGCGTTTAAGGCTTTATAGACTAGCGCTTTTAACCTAAAGTAGACGATACTTATATAGCCGTCTATATTAGCTAGGTTATCGTAGTATACTATAAAAGGTATAATAGGGAATAGTCTAGGTTTTCTATAGCTTAGAACCTAGAAAGGGTTAAGCTTTTATTAGACTAGTATTAAGGCCTATTCCTTAGCGAATAGGTTAGCCCGCTTAGAGGGAGTAGAGGGCAGGGCCGCGGTAGTAGTAAGTAAGCGTTTAGTAAAAGGGTTCTTTAATAGCTTATTAAAGGTAAGGTCTACTATACTAGATCCTCCGGTCTTAGCTAGGGTACGCTTAAGGCTCTCTTTAAACTTATAGGTTCTTAGTATACTAGTAGCCTCGCGCTCCGCTACGGCGGCGGCCTTAAATATTTTTAGATAGGTAAGGAGGTACTTCGCGCTAGTAATAGTAGCGATAATCTTAAGTATCTCGGCGTCTATAAAGGCGACCTATTTAAATAGGAGCTTATTAATAACGTTAGCTAAGATAGTAGCGATCTATATAGTTTTAAGAGCGCTAGTTATTATCTTAGTTTTATTAGGAAAGATAGCCCTATCTAGGTCGCGTAGTAATAAAGGGAGAAGCTTATCCTTATTAAATAATAAAGTAAACTACCTATAAGTATTATAGGGGGTACTAAGGGTTTTCCCTATAAT